GGTTGAACTGTAAAGTGCCTTGAGATGACATGTGTTGTGAATTTGGCGCTATAGAAATAAACTGAATTGAATTTATTTGAATCGATTAGGTATTGCAGATACAACTCAGGTTTCAAAACGGCATCTTACCTGTTTCAGACAGTTATTGTGTATTTTGCTCTATAAAGTACTTTAAAGAAATTAGAATTACTATTGAGATGATTACAGAAACAAACACTGCCAATTACTGCTTCAGATTATATTATTCCACCAGAAAATTAAACATCAAATCTCTTTTCAGAACTCTGATTTGTGGTGAATTAGTGGTGTCAACAGCCTACTTCTCTTATTGGTTGAATGGAGTTTCAATTAATTTTATAAGAATAATGTAGGTAGTACCCTGCTTAATTTGAAAAAACAAATAACCAATAATAAAAAAAACGCTTTAGAGCCCACCCTTTGCACGTGGTCTTAGAATAATATATATATATATTAAAAAAAATGAAATGCAATGGAATGCCGCAATAAAGCAGTCACAAACATGGATTAATTTATAATTCAAACATTTAATTAGTTTTATATAGGTACACATTACTGACTGGTGTATACAATTGATGGCCTCACGTTTGAAGATGTTTAAATGATTTTACTTTGAACATGCACAGTTTATGTCTTCCATTTTCAGACAAAGTGTAGAGGCTTTAAAATGCTGGCAACGGTTCTCAGTCATCCAGGTCATAGTCATTCCAAAAAAATTAAAAACAATCCACTGGACTAGGTTTTAAAGTTTGAAGACGTTTCACTTCCCACCCAGGAAGCTTTTTGTTAGAAAAATGTATATGTTATAATTTTATTTCCAGTTACAGCTATCTGGCCCAGCAATGTTAAGTGTTACTCTAAATTAGGAGAGCAAATATTTCTCTCAGGGCCTGGTATTATCCAGCTATGCAGCCGTAGGTGACTTACATAACTTCTATCTTATTATTAACTATTATAATAAGATAACTTCTGACCCCTCCTAATAACATCAGACTCCTCCTGGTAACGTTTGACCATTCCTGTAATTCCATTTAAGTCGAATGATAAAAGCAGCAGAAAAAAGAGGTTTGGGCAGAGTTGAGTACAGACTTTCAATGGGTCTCACCCTTGGTCTGTCCTCTCTCTCACTTTTGCAGCGAAGAAAAGAATGCTTGCTCTGTTTGGTTTTCATTTCTAGGACAATAACTGGTTATGATTATTACCCCAACACTTTTTCAATTCAAAATATAAGGAATAGTGTGGAGTTTGTGGTTTTATACAGTAGCCCAATAAAGCCTTGTTATTGTTTTGTAAATATTCAAATTGGAACAGAGTAGAGGTCCATCCGTTTGAAATGTGGGTCATTTGGTGGGGGTCTTTAAAGAGAATAGATGGTCTGGCTGAATAGACAAACTCAACGTTATTCCTGACATTTTAAATTGAAAAAGCTTCCTGGATGGGAAGCGAAATGTTTTTAAACTTGGAAACCAAGTCCAGTGGATTGTTTTAAAATCTTTATTTAACAAAAAGCAGCCTTAAAAAGAAATAAAGATGAGGGGGAAAAATATTACATTTCAAGTGCATATAATAAAAATAACAATGTTTTAAGAGAAATTTGTGGATTCAAGTTAATTTATTTCAGTAATTAAATTAAAAGAAAGAAACAAACAAAAAACAGTTAATAAAAGCTGATTTGTTCAAGCTTTTTTTTTTCGTTACAATAAATTTCATCCAACAGGTGATTATTTTAATTTGACAAACCAACATACGTCGGCCTATATACAGGCCTGTGTGTTTATATGTATTGTTTTATGACTGACATGCTTGAGGGAGGAGCCTCACCGACCCAAGATGGCGACGGCGCTCGCGCTCCGTTCCAGTGAACGGGGCAGTAGAAGATATACCCTGTATATATTTGGATGTCGCTGATGTTCCTTTTTTTCACGAGAAAAGAAGCTAAAACAAAACAAAAAAATCAATAAGAAAGAAAAAAAAAACGTTTAACGCGGGGGAACGACAAGACATTATTTGACTTACTGTCACATTTTATTTTTATTTTAAATCTTCCACCCTTATTGGCTATAACTGTGAGCTCCAGCTTTGAACGAAGGATTGCGTAAAACTCAATATTGTCACAGCAGTTGTAGCGTCAAAACGGAACAGAAACTGGCCTTATTGTTGGTAATTGGAATCAGCAGCATGATGCGCATCGCTTCCCCCGCATCCGGAACATCCTATAGAGATGGAGCTGCGTCCAGCATCGCTGGTGAGTGGAAAATATCTGATATACATGTATGCGTAAGTGTGCGCATATTATATATGATACATGTTCTGATTAAGGAAGGGTGTAACTAGACTGAGAGCGGGAGGAAAAATAAACCTAAACGGAGTTATATATTTAAGAATCGGTGTGTTTAAGCACAGATGTAATTAGGTTTGTCGATCAGGACGTGCAACATGTTGCTATAGACGGCTGATATATATATATATATATATATATATATATATATATATATATATATATATATATATATATATATATATATATATGAATGTCATTCAAAATAGCATGCTGAATTGAATATATTTGAAATATTATTAAATATATTGAGGTTTCTCTCAAAATATTAAAGTTTGATTAATTTATTCTAAATGAAAACAAATTAAGTCATATAAACTTTAGAGAACAGGATGACAGCCAGATGTGTTAATTGGCCTTTAGTTATCTGTTTTGAAACTACACTACCTATAATCCTTTCAGGCTAACTTTCATCCCATATATTCAGATGTTGCACTCAATTTACTCAGAATATCATTCCAGATATTCAAGTTATATTCAATAAAATCCAAATTGCATTCAATGTACTCAGAATATTATTCAAAATATTCAGGTTTCATTCAAAATAAATAAGTTTAATTGAGTATCTTCAAGTTTTATTCAATATATTTCAACTTGTGTCATTGGACAATTTAAACATTTCCCAACAGTTCATAGTCATTACCTGTAAGACGAAATTTATTATAACAGGAAAAGTCTTGACAACATGAGCTTTTATCAAATTTTTTGCTTGTGTGTGTTGGTTTCTTTTGCCTATTAAATTGAATTACTGAAATAAATTAATTCAATAAATGAATTAATTTAATAAATTAATTTTGATTCATGAGTTTGTCTTCATGCCTTGTTATTTTTAATAAATGCATTTGACAACAGATGTTATTTATTTCAGTCACTTCCTTTACTAAGATCATTATATATATAGATATATATAGATCAAAAACATAATAATAAAATCTTTACACACCACTAAAAATATAATGATGTATCTAAAATGTATTTATGGCACTGGCTCCTCACATTATTCTTATCCTTACTGTGACTGCTTATTGATGGATTTGATTAAATAATAAATAAACAATAATTGATATATATATGCTGTTTGAAAATGCATATATATTTTTCCCAGGTTTTTATTGTCAATACACTGTCACAAGTACAGAGCTATGATATAAATATGCATATCATAGCTATATATGTGGTTGTGTGTGCAACATTACTTTTAGATGACTGAATGACTGCTAAACTTTCTTTCATTTTTTTTTATAAAGGTATGCAAGTTGATGCCATGGAAAGCTGAAGATGGAAATACTGTCCAAGAAATTCAGGAAAAATCTACATTGAAGTTTGGACTGCACATTGAACAGAAATGCATAATTGTTGACGAACAATGAAGATTAGCATTGATTCCCAACTCTGATGAGCCATAGCATTATTTAGTCTGTACTTGTGACAGAGCATTATTGATTGCAGTGAGCTAATAGAACAGGGATGGTGTGACACAGGAACACATCTCTCCAGTGCTGTTTGAAAAGCAGACATGATTGTGCATTCTAAGAGGAAAAAATAACATTACGAAGAACAAAAAGTAATAATTGTCCAAAATTATTTTTAGCCTTAATCCATTTCTGCTCGACAAGATACTTTACTATTGGATAAGAAAGACAGAAGATTTGGTTCTGCGTTTTTGCCATGCCTCGCAATCAAGCTTTTTCTGAACCAGAGTACTCTGTGGAGTATTCGGCAGACTGCTCTGTGACATTGCCCTCTGACCCTGGACAGGCTGTTGGAAGAACACACGATGTTACAGTTCGAAATTCTGGATCCTGCCTCTGCTTGCCCCGGTTTATGCGCCTCACATTTGCTCCTGAGTCGTTGGAGAATCTCTATCAGACCTACTTCAGAAGGCAAAGACATGAGACCCTTTTGGTGCTTGTTGTGTTTGCTGCCCTTTTTGATAGTTACATCCTCATAATGTGTGCAGTGGTTTATACCTCTGAAAAGTTTGCTTCCATTTCAGTGGCATCTGTGGGATTGGCAGGACATATTATTCTCTACCTGCTGTGCCGCTTTGGACTGTTACCAGAGCGGATCTCAAGACGTTTTGTGCCCTATTCCCTCTGGGTTCTGATAGCTGCACAGATATTTTGCCACTTGGGACTCAACTATGCTCGTTTCCACCAAGCCAGTGACACAGTGGGCTGGCAGGCCTTTTTTAGCTTTTCTTCTTTCCTCACTCTGCCTTTGAGACTGGCACCCATTGTACTCATCACTGCTGTTTCCTGTGGAGTCCACACTCTAGTTCTTGGAGTCACCATCGCTCAGCAGCAGCAGGAGAACATCCAGGGATCTGTACTTGCCAGACAGGTAAAAATTGAGGAGGAGATTTGGCTTGTTTTACACTTAGGTGGCATAACAATTTAGCATTAATGTTGTTCCGGTTGGTATATATAATATTTCAAAAGTCTAAACAAAATTCGATTAAATTAGATAAAAACATACCTGAATCATCAGTCCAGTCTCGTATTACTTTAGTGTAAATAAGTCACTTGACCTAAAGCCATTAATTTTACAGAGAGAAATATAGAAAATAGAAAAAAAATCTGTCCATTTTATTGGGCTCCAATAATGAGTAGCATTAATTTTTGTGTCAATAGGTTTTAAGAAATAAAAGTAATTGGTTTTGGTTTGCCAGATTGTTGGGTTAGGATAGTTATTGACCGTCCGCTCAAGAACTGCTGTTTGTGAGAGGAGCGAGTAGCCAAGCAGAATCTCTGAGCCAGTGGATTAAACCATTTTAACTCAGGGCTTGAGGCTTCCTCTACATGATCTGCTTCTCTTTGCCCAATGTTCTTTGTTTCTGGTGAGTAGAAATCCTTTGTCTTATAAAACCAGTGTTGTTCTCTTCAGTCAGCATATGGGCTAAGCTGTTTTATGTAAAAAAAAAAAACTTGACTGTTTGAGACAGTTTGAATGGTCCAAATGCCAGATCTTAACCCTCAAAATCATCTAAGTCCTGATAATTTTTTATTTTGCCATTAAGAGCAGAAATTGTTTTCTTTTCTCCCCTGCTAACTCATATTGATTTTTGTTGAGAACAGTCACTACCTTTGGGAATAATCAAATTAATCTATGGTGTCATATTTATGTAAAAAAATCAGAGAGCAAAATAAACATTCTCGCATGTATATTAAAATCCAAACGGTGGCCGGCGAATGTTTTTGAAGCATTTATAACCAACAATTTATATTTATAACAACAATTTGGCACAATCTGGCACACAGAGGTTTAGCGATGCTGGTGACACCAAAAGTTCAAAGGCCCACTGCTCTGTAACTGTTATACGTAGAGGTCAGAAATTTTCTGAAATTGTGGTTGACATGATGTAGGACAAATGTAATAAAATGACACATGCACATTTTTCAAGCACGTTTTTATTACTGCTACTGTATTACTTTTCAAAAAAGATCTATTATTTTCGAGAAGAAAAAACCACTTTGAGTCATCTTTGAACTAATGCAGTTTAGGCTGTGTTTTAGTCACATTATTTTCCTTTTATTTTCAGAAACTAAAAGGTGTGAGCTTTCAAATGATGTATCACACATGTAATTTGGGCTGCTGAGTTCAAACCCCACTCCGACAGACTGCCACTCTGAGTCCCTGAGCAAGACCCTTAACCCCACCCTGTTCCCTGGGCGCCGCACAATGGCAGCCCACTGCTCCCCAAGGGGATGGGTTAAATGCAGATAGTTCATTTTGTTGCTCTCTACTTGTGACTGTGTAATGACAATTAAAGCTGGAAAAAAATAATGCTGTGGGAACACCAGATCCGCTAAATTACATGATACCATTAAATGCAAAGTCAACACACTGTGCCAGTCATGTCTGATCTAACAAGCTGAAACAACTCTGTTTACATTCTATAAACATGGAGCACCGCTGGTAAGAGGGACAGATAAAAGAGTGAAATAAGGAAGCACGCTGACTAGTCCTGGCTTCCTTCCATGTTGTTCTCCATTGTTTACATTCCTGATTTCTGTCGCTCTTGTGACATCATCAACGCTAACCCTGCATTGGGGACATCAAGGGATTAGACCTAGCTTTTTTTGACCAGGGGGAAAGGAGCCGAATGGCAATTGTTAGCAGGTCGACTCATGTTTATAAAAAAAAATGTTAACCCTGTATTTCCAGTGGGAATGAGGATTAAGGGATGCGCCCAGCCACCCTGCTGAGGAAGCTAATTTCAACCCGGCCGCTTTAACCTCTGTTGGGAACCGCCCAAGTATATGCTTCAAGTCTTAGCAGGAGGGAGCCAGCAGAACCACCTCATCGGCAAAAAGCAGGGGAACCAGACCCCTCTGACCAATGGCTTCTCCTAGAAATTCTTGCAATAATGGTTATGAACAGGACCAGCGACAAAGGGAAGCCCTGTCGGACTTGCACCGGGAACAGGTCTTACTTAATGCTGGCAATTCAGACCAAAACTTTACTCCAGTTGTACAGAGACTGGATGGCCCTTAGTAAAGCGCCACCAACTCCATGTTGCTGAAGTGCCATCCACAGGGTACCACGAGAGACATGGTCAAATGCCTTCTCCAGATCAACTAATTACATTTGGGCTGATTAGGCAAAGTCAGAAGCACCCACGAGCACCCTGCAGAAACTGTAAAGCTCGTCCACTGTTCCATGGCCAGGACGAAAACCACACTGGAAGAAGTTTCATTTGGACATTCATTTAAATTCAAATTCAATAACAAAAAAATACTTAAATTAATCCCAAAGTCGTCATAAAGATCTTGTACAACTTTTTCACTAAAGTGTGTGCGCGACGGGATGTTGTAATGTGGTTCAAGCACTTTCAGTGCAAAGCAGTTGTCCAAAGCAAGGGCTTTGCACAACTCACCAGGGTCTCACCAGGAGATGACGCTTCTTTAGATCTTAATTTCTACAAATCATGACAGAATAAATTAGATCAAAGATTGGCGTTTAAAAAAGGAATCTTGGGGGACCAGCCAATGGCCCATCATGGAAGGTGGAGAAATTTTCAATGGCTACTACTGTATAAATGGTATGCATTGCAATGCATTTTGCTTTTCAAACACATTGCTATGGTCAATGTTTTTCCACTGCCATGAGGCTTTCTTGTGCCTCAGTGCCTACACACCTTCACAGCTGTGGTTTCCGGCTCGTAGCAATTGCCCGTGGGTAAAGAAAATCACTTGAAAATAAATTGATGGTAAATAAATAAAAAAAGAAGAAATCCCTCTTACATTTATCAGTCAATGGAGTGGTCTAAAACAGTATTAGCCAATCAGAAGAAGAAGGGGACAGGTCTTAGGAAAGCGTGTACCTCCTCCTATTCTTTCTTGCTCAAGTCACCAGATAGATTGTGGTACAGTCCTGAAGTTTTAAACGGTCAATAGAGAGATGTGTAAAAAGTCAAAAAGTAAATAGATTAAACTTTGTGTTTGGAGAGAAGGATGATGGAGAGAACGGAATCGCATGGAGTGGGCACAGTGCAGTTCATGAATTCCAAGGGAAGATGTCACGACCATAGATAAATGTCTGAAAAATAAATGGTGATGGGCATGGCTGGAGGAGACAGGGCGAGATGGCAAGCCATTTAGCAGCTGGTGCAGGAAGTTAGGTGAACCAGGTGCTTGCTTCTGCACGCTGTGCTCCAGGAAGCTTATTTACGCATCCAGCAGCAAAAAGGTGCTACGCAAACATGACTTATAGGCCGTGGTCATCAAGCTGCTGTTCGTGCGGGCCCTCACTCTATACATCTGTCGGGAGCCTCCGGCAGCAGCTGATGTGCAAAGCAGTTGTCACGGATCATGTGTAAGCTGAGCCAAAAATATTGATCCGAAACGGATCATGGATCAATGACGATCCGTTTGCACCACTGCTTGATAGCATTCATTTTGCCAAAGGGGGTAAAGTTATAGGTGTTATTTTTGACCAGGATATGTTCTTTAGTTCCCATTATAAATATGTTTTTGGATTTCCTTCTTTTTTCTTAGGAAATTGCCAAAAATAGAAATATCTTGCACAAGAGAGATGGAAAGGTGTAAAAACTCATCTATGCATTTATGATTTCAAGGCTTGACCCAAAAATTCATAAAATACATTTAAAGGCCTTATCCAAAATGTTTCAGCAGGAATTTTGGTGACTACTAAGAAAATAGATAATTATTTCCTTATTTCATCCTTCTTTCATTGGCTTTGTGTAAAGTCCAAACTTGAATTAGATTTTTCTTCTCGAAAATAAAACCCTTAAAATCTCAGTTTGCGACCCCGCCCCCCCGTGCAGCGGTTCAGCCTTTCCGGCTGTCTGTGCGATCGGCCTTCTCGATTTGGTGCAGGTGCGTGCCATTTTTAAAAACCGAGGAACAACTACAATGGACAACAACGACGAAAGGTTAACCGAGGAGGTTCGGGAGTACAACCACTTGTACGATGCCTCGGACAAATTGTATAAAAAACTATATTGTCATGGTTTTGGTTTTGTTCAAGGTTTATTTTGAGTTTTCCTTGGTCTTATTTCGATTCTTGTGTTCTAGGTATTTTTGATTGTATTTGAGTTCTTAGATATTTCCTGTTTTCCCTCTTGTGTCAGTCTCTTTTTCCCTAGCTCTCTTCTTACCTCTGTTAACACCTGCTCCCAATCTGCTAATTAGCCTGGTTTTTGTTTCTCTCTCTCATATAATCTCCTCCTGTTCAGTCACTCTTTGCTGGTTTGTCATCATTACTTTGTTCCCTTCTTGTTGTGAGTACGGTATTCTTGGTTTTGAGCATTTTTTTCGATTTTTGCTGCTGTTAAACTTTTGTCATTAAAACGTAAAGTAACCACCTCAAGCTTTTGCTGCATTTGGGTCCTGTCAAACCACCCCCATTGTGACATATGTCCTTGTTCCTGTCTAGAAACTCTAGACTCTAGCATCTTGCAGATGCGCCATTGTTGTTTTGGAAGAAATACAATCCCGCCGGAGCTGCCGAAGTTCTCGTGACCATCCTCAAAAGTTTTTGTGACCATCCGCCAAAGTTCTTGCGAGTTCTTGAATAGGCTCCCCCTTGCGCTTTGGCGGGAAACTGCCCGATGCGTCCCTAGAAATTCCAGACCGATGGTGCAGAAGCATAGAAGCAAAACTTGTTCGTGACAAGACCCAAGCGACATTTGATGTGTTCGGTTGCAGAAGTATGATCTGCACTTTAGGTGTCTCTAAAACTAGAACAGCACCTTTTTAAATTAATGCTCCTAACACACAACAGAGCTTTAAGCATTTAATGAGTTTTTATTGTACGGCTTTATTCATTATATACTGAGTACTGACTTATAATCTCTTTTTTGTATTTTATCAAGCTGCTGGCGAACATTGTGATCTATATTTGTGCCATCACTGTGGGTGTCACCTCATATTACATGGCTGACCGGAAGCATAGAAAAGCTTTCCTGGAGGCAAGGCAATCATTGGAGGTGAAACTTAACCTGGAGGAGCAAAGCCAGCAACAGGTCAGTGGAACATTTATACACATTTTGTAGTATTAGGGAGTGGGCCATTAACAAGATGTAGTTTTCCAAGTCAACTCCCAGTAAAAGCAGAAGTCAAGTCAATGCCTTATTCTATGACTTCATAATATTAAATCAGAGGGGATTAAACATGATGCATCTTATTTACATGTAAGTCTATGGTTGAAGTGGATGAAGGTGCATCAGATGGTCCTGCAGGGCGTTTTGAGCAGTGCGTCATGAATATTTAATCATCTGAGGCACGTTCTGTTCTCATTAAGCAGTTGACACTTGAAGGCTAGAAAGGCCACCCCAACCAGGTGTTTTGTATTTCCTACTTCCAGAACAAGCAATTCTCCTAAAACAGAGGGTAGCAGCAGTGATACTATCAGATGGAGCTGATGATGACATGATACACCTGCTTTAACAAACCTACTGTCATTCAGACAAGGCATACAAAACACTGTGAGGATTGTATATCGTATATATATATATATATATATATATATATATATATATNCAAAGGTGTTGATGGCAGCAGCACAGCTGATATTTCTCTCCAGGATGGAGTCACAGCCAAACAGGAACAGACCAGATGAAGCTACTATGAGAAAAGGGATACAGAATCCTTTCTTATTAACATTAGCATTTTCACCGGTATTACATTATAATACGATTTGGACCCATCAAAATCTACAAAACAAATATTTACATACAGTTTTTTTCAGTAAAATTTGATCATTTTATCTGGGACCACTCAAGACGTTTTGTGGACATTTTATTTTAAGCCTCATGATTTATTTATTTTTGTCGGTTTGCATTTGACAAACCTATACTGAAACCAGTCCTACATTGGTAAAGTAATGACTTACTCCTTTTATCCTAAACTAATTTTGTACATCAAAGTTCAGTAGCATTACGCCAACCTGCTTTTAAACTATGCTGTTACTATTCCACAGCTATAACCAAAAAACTCCGTTTTCAAAAACAGCCCATGAACCTGACATGAATGGATGTGAGTGGCTTCTTCAGCATATTTCAGCTCTTCTGCTGAAGGAATGATCCACTCGGTGATAGCAGTTTTAATTTAATTGTCGATGCAATGATGATAAAATTTCTATACTATTCAATTAGTATATATTTCTTAACCTTGAATGACCTTAAATGACTACCATTTCTATTGGTTCAGAATCCTTTCATGTCGACATGTTAGCGTTTTACCCGGATGTAAATGTTTTTATGTTTGGACCAATCTCTTCACTTAAAAAGTAATACTATTATTCTCCACTACTCTAGACATCTTGGTCTTCTTTTAAGATAATTAATTGTTTTGATGATAAAGGTGTAGCTAGCACATGTAGCACATTTCTGATTGAATAGGTAACTGAAACAATCAAACAGGGCAATATTATGCATTAGTTTACTAACCACATTATACAGTACATTGAATAACCCATCCATCCATTTTCTTTACACGCCCAAATAGGGTGGTGAGGGGTTCTGGTGATCTCCAGCTGTCTATGGGCGAGAGGTGGGGTCCACCCTGGACAGAGACAAACAACCATTCACGCACACCTAAGGAGAATTTAGAGAAGCCAATTAACCTAAAAGTGATGTCTTTTTTTTTTTTTGGACTGTGGGAGGAAGCCGGAGTACCCGGAGAGAACCCGCACATGCTCAGGAAGAACATGCAAACTCCATGCAGAAAGGCTGGGAATNAGCACATGTAGCACATTTCTGATTGAATAGGTAACTGAAACAATCAAACAGGGCAATATTATGCATTAGTTTACTAACCACATTATACAGTACATTGAATAACCCATCCATCCATTTTCTTTACACGCCCAAATAGGGTGGTGAGGGGTTCTGGTGATCTCCAGCTGTCTATGGGCGAGAGGTGGGGTCCACCCTGGACAGAGACAAACAACCATTCACGCACACCTAAGGAGAATTTAGAGAAGCCAATTAACCTAAAAGTGATGTCTTTTTTTTTTTTTGGACTGTGGGAGGAAGCCGGAGTACCCGGAGAGAACCCGCACATGCTCAGGAAGAACATGCAAACTCCATGCAGAAAGGCTGGGAATCGAACCCATGACCTTCTTGTTGCAAGGCAGCAGTGCTACCCACTCACACGTAAATAATCACTAACAAAAAAATACTTTGATCAAATAACAGATCAAACTCTGTTCTGCATGAATAAAAAATAAAACAGAGATAGACTGAAAATGTGATTTTCTAAATATTGCTGAAGAAAATGAAAAAATTTGCTCCAGCAGAACATGTTAAGTTTAAAATATAAACATTTTACTGTTTGGAAAAAAGAAAAAGTTGCCAAAATTAATAAAAAAATGTAAAAACGAACTTAATCATAAAGTTGAATTCTTATTATTGGTACAAACAAGAGAGAGAGAGAAAAACAGTAATATTTACCTCTAAGCACAAGTCAAATTAACGCTTAAAAAATGTAAATGTCAAGCTATAAATTAAATTTGAATTTGGGCAGCTACTAATGACAGAAATTGAAGCATAGAAACAACATCACAACTTATCAGCTCATTGTATCCCTGAACAATGTTCCAGGGTTGAGATCTAAAAATGTTTTAATTTCAAGTCTTTTCAGAGAGCAAAATCTATGCTTTCCGACCATAAAATGTCTGCATTCTTAATTTTTAAACACAGAAAATCATTATTTTAATTAGCATATGCAGGAACAAACTATTTAACGGAATTTTATTTAAACAAAGAATGGGTTATAAAAGCTAAAATCTTGTTGATTTTAAGTGTAAAAAAACCCACTTATCTAGGAAGTAATCTGAACAGTTTTTAAACTTGGATGAAAATCAACAGTTTTTTTGTTGAAAATGTCAAAAAGTTGTGTCATTTGCAAATAAATGTCCTATAATAACAAACGTCTGCAAGTTAATGTGATGAGCTGAAGCATCCCAGCCTGCTGACCACCCAAGGGGAGGGGGAGGTCACAGTGTCTAGTTTGGCTCAGTAAGTTTCCTTAATGACCCACAAGTATGTAAGCAGCAAACATGATAAGAGCTGTTTGAATTCTCCAAATTCTAAAGACAGAAGGCTACAGAAGGGTTAGGGGCTGTAAAATCAACATTTCAAACTAATTTATTAAAAACAAAGACTTTAAAAGCATTCATACAAAACATTCCCATAATGCCATTATGTTCCCGTCGTCTTCTTCAGCAAATACTTGAAATTTTCACACTTGCTTACAATTTATGTCATACCTGCAGCGGTGGAAAGTAACGTAGTTACTTGATTACCCTACTTAAGTATATATTAGTGCTGTCAATCGATGACATTTTTTTAATCGCGATTAATCGCATCAACGCCTAAGTTAACTCGCGATTAATCGCATTTTAATCACACATTTTTTTTCTGATTGAAAATCATTTAAATACTCTCGATGACATACAAAAAATACATACAGGCTAGGTTTGTGCCAATGTTCTTTTTTTTAAATGAAAACAGGTCACAGACACTGATTTATGCCATAGAAACATATGGCAAGAAGATGGGGAGGCATGTAGCAAAAAATAACAATTATGTAGCCAAAAAAAGGCCCTGAAAACAGGCTGATGTAAAAGACAGTCTTTACAGTTAATACAGTCTTTTGAACAAAGACAAGCATTTTACCCTACTGCTATAAAATGTAGTAGAGTTAACATTAGATGTCAATTAACCAAGGTAATAATGAACAATTTTCAATCAATACATCAAAATCAATAGACCGACATCACTAGATGGAGGTAGTCTATGCTCTAGAAAGTTACTTTTCAGCCATTAAAATGGCCTCGCGTTAACGCGATTATAACGCGATAATTTTGACAGAAATATTTAAAAAGTGTGTATTCAAAACAATAGCAGAAGGGATCTGCAGTCATGGCGGCTGCAGCAGCTAGGGCTGCTAACACAGGCTAGTGACCAAGATGATGAACATGTGAGTCACTAACCTGGCTGGACAGTTCAGTTCACAGTTCGTGCCCAGAGAACGACAATGTTTCCAGCCAGTCAGCTGACAAGTTGCAGCAAACTCTGCCAGAGAGTTCCAGACGCGGAAGCCAAGAAGAGCTTACAGTAGAAAAGATCCAACCAGATGAAGGAAGGCAGGATAATCCACAGGGCAAAGTCAAGAGAAAGATCTAGGTTCAGTGCACAGAAGAATCCAACAGAAGTACGAAGGTCAGGTCAGGCAAACAGATCAGACAGGGGCAGGCAGGCTCAAAGGTCAAATACAGAAACGGCAATCAGAACACAATAGAAACGTTAGGGAACTCTCAACACCAAAGGCTGAAGAATAATCTGGCACTGATGGCTGGGACCAAGGAGTTTAAATAGAAGCAGGAGCAGGTGGATCAGATGAGCAGTGAAGAGGAACAGAGCTAGTCAGGTGAATGGAATGAGCAATCAAGCGAGCCATCAGCAGTAAAATCCTGACAATTGTAACTTTCTACTCCACTCCATTTCCAACAAGCTGCTAGTTTCTTGTTCCTTTTGGCTCAGCTTAGCTTTGTAGTCCACTGCTGCTGTTTTTCTTTATTGAAATGTATTTTCAACATGGCAGCTAGCAGCCCTTGGGTCTGAATGTGGATATAGATCTTTTAAAGAAAACTCAGGGTCCATTTTATTAGTATATCAATTTTATTGAGTTGTTATTTGTTGCCATGTGACCAAGTTGTTCAGTAGGATGAGTTCTCAAAGCAGAGTTGTAGTTTCTTTGTGGTAATTTATTCAACCTTAAACCTCTATTCCATTTTAGGAGTGTGAGGAGACTCAAGGCTCTCCTTTTTTATTTATTTATTTTTTGTTTCTTTTTAAATAAGAAATAATAATCAAAATAGTTGTTATTTTTTGTGGCATTTTTATAATAAGGATCTTTCTAAATTGTGTAGAATCTATAGCAGGTGGTTCTACACATCAATTCATCAGGTGGTTTCTTAAAGTTACAGGTTCTTTAAAACTACTCTGAAATGTATGCA